CAAAAAAAACCCCGTAACTGTAGCACTTCTGTCCCACGCTTGGCAGGTTATTAATTTATTGTAATTTGCAGCAACCGTGACTGAGTTACATTCATCTTCCCAGATGTTCTTAGGGATGAAAGCTCAAGGAATAAGCTTTTTCTGCTGTTGATGTACTCCGTGCCAAACCTCGTCTTGAGCCCCTGGCTTCTGCTGTACTTTTCTTGTGTCTGTACTGCTGCTTTGTGATAAATGAAACTTGCAGAATCACACGTACCGTGGTACAGGAACAAGCATCTTGTCTGGGGAGCGGTCAGTGCCGGAGGCTAGAAACTTGGGTTGTGTGTACATCTGTGGAGGCTCATGTAATAACTACAGCAGTTATTATAACTAAAGCAAAGGTGCTGAGGCTTTCATTACAAATGTCAAACAAAACGGGAAACAAAGCAAGGCTGAGGAAATAAAAAGGGCCCCGTCCCCGCGCTCTCCTCCCCCCCCACCTCGTCACAACGGACTGCTTTTCTTCCTTTGTTTTATTTGCTCTAAAAGCCTTTGCAGTCTTCCCTTCTTGGCACAATTGCAGAGCCCTGGGAAGCTCGGAGTTTACTCTCAGTTACACTGAAAAGCCCCAGATGGTATACATGACCATTTGTAAATAAATGAATAATCAGAACCAAAAAGCTCTACAGAAACCCTTTACCAGCCTTTTCTAATTTTTCATAAAACGCCTCAGAAACAGATTGCATACTTCACCAGCCAACTGAAACAGCCGTGTTACCAATTTGTGCTTACAGAGAGCAATTTCATATTTACTCCTTTTTGAGTACCATGAAGCTCCTTCCTCCACGCTGTGACTCCCCCTGGAAGCAGAGATGTACCAGACCTCTGCTTCCTGGAGGAGAGAGGAGGCATCCAAGGAGCAGCCCCTGCTTTCCCACTTGTGAACTCCTCCTCCAGCTTGAATTGGAGATGAAGACCCTAGGATGGTTGAGGCTCAAACCTCTGCTTTGTGTCCCTGCTATCCCCTGGGGCTCTGTGTCTTCCTTCTCTGCCTCTGTCCAAGCCTGGGTGCTGTGGTGTTGGTGCTCTGGGCTGTCTGGGTGACCTGGTGTCCCTATTTAGGGAGGGCATATTGTCCCCTATCAGATGTGCTTTGCAGTCTGGGCTCGGGCTGAGCTCATGATGCCTGTTGGGGGAGATGAGAACAGGTCTGGGGGGCATCTGGGGCTTTGGGGCACACCTTGGAGCACCAGCCCAGGTGTGGGGGACAGGCGTAGAAGGATTCCTAGCATTTCTTTCCTCCCATTGGCCTTTTGGTTCTAACGTCTTAAAACTGGAACAGGTTGCCCAGAGAGGTGATAAATGCCCCATGCCTGGAAACATTCAAGGCTGGGTTGGACAGTACTCTGAGCAACCTGATCTAGTTGAAGATGTCCCTGCTCATTGCAGGGGGTGTTGGAGTAGATGACCTTTAAAGGTCCTTTCCAAATCAAACTGCTATGCAGCTTTTGCATAGTTAGGTGGACAACTGGCTCCTAAGATATTCCCAGTAATGCTCCTGGTGCCCACAGGCATGAATTCATAGAGGTACCCCAACTACCTTTGGAAGGAGCTAGTCAATACATACATGCATATATACATACAGTGCGCGCACATGTGTGTGTGTTTCTATATATGTGTGTATGTACTGAGCAGATACATATATATGCATTTGCATGCCTGTACATGCTGCCAGTCAGACGTCTGAAGTCGGTATTTAAGACTAGCCAGTACTTAAGAACAAATAAGGAATTAAAGTAGTTTTATCTGTCGGATAAAGTGATGCGGTTGCATCCCACCACCTGCAGCAGCCAGCCCTCTCTTTCGGTGGCTCCGACGCATTTCGACCAGGCTGTGGAGGCAGGAGAGAAAGCTCTTTCCCAGGAAATCCCCTGCTGTCCTGGCCTCGGCCACACGTGGGTGGGCTCTGTGCCATCCTGGCAATGAAGCAATGTCGGCGCGCTCCTCTCCCAACTCTGCTGGTTCCTCGGACACGGTGACGCGCTGGTTGCATCAGCCAGGCCCAGATTCACCTCTGCTGAAATCAAACAGCCCGGCGGGATGGCCACCCTCATGCTGGTGGAAAGGGTCGGGATTTTTCCACCTGAAAACAAGACCCAGTGAGTGAGCAAAGGTGCTACAGCGGCTATTTTATTTATCCTATTTGCAGCAGTTTCTTTATATATCCACTAAGTTTCAGTGTGAGTGTATTTAACTCTACTTCTTTTCCAGCCAGAGGCTGCTGGAGGGAGACAGAAAGCTCCTTTCCGGAGCTGCAGGCTTCCTTGTTTTCATTCAACACGCAGCGATGGCGTTTGGCCATCAGTGGTGCGGCGTGCGCTGCGCCACACGTGTCACATTTATGATCCCATTGACCACGGGAGAGGGAAATTTAATAACTCCTTGCAGACCTGCATACCAGGGACTCTTCACGGCATCGCATCGGTAAGAAACACGGAGGGGAGCCCATAATAAATGTTACAAGGGGAAATACCTTTGACTGATAAGAAGCTGAGCAGATGACAAATCACAAAAGCCTCCAGTGAACCCCTCAGGAGCAGATAACCTTGAGACGTACCTGCATATAAAGATTAAACACCAACTCGAGCTCAGCAGAGATTTATAGAGCTTTGCAAGTGCCTTGGTTTCACTGTTTGCTTTTGTAGTAATTTCTGGACTTTATTGTTAGTTTCTATCTCTTAATACTCTGTACAGACCCAGAAATACAGGCGTCTCAGAGAAGTCACCCCAGACAAAAAAAAAATTATTTGAAATATTTTACAAGGAGATTTTATAGATTGAAATGAGAAAGATAACCAGGAAAGGGCACAGTACACCTGTGAGCGAGGTTGTGCAAAGACATAAACAAAAAAAAATGAAGGATAAAATATACTGACATGTTTGAGCTTACTGGCTAAATCTGGTTATTCATTCCTCCGTAAGTGGCAGTCCTAGTTATTATGGGCTATATATTTTTCTAAGGCAAATACGTGAGGCAGTAAATGCCTTCGTTAGTATGCTTCAACAGGAAGGGTAGTGGCTACTGCAGCTATTCGGGGCCCCTTGGGGAAAATACTCATGGGTAAAAAAAAGACTTGGCCAGTTACAGACTGGGTTGAAACCTGGACGAGGGTGAACATTCTGCCTAATGGCTAAAGTGAGAGAGGAGAGACCTGAAACGGTTAGGTACTATTCTGAACATCAGCAAACACTCTTTGCTGCGAGGATGACCAAGCCCTGGCACAGGTTGCCCAGAGAGGCTGTGCAGTCCTCTTTGGAGATATTCCGAAGCCTTCTGGACACGGTCCTGGGCAACTGGCTCTGGGTGGCCCTGTTTGAGCAGAGAGGTTGGGCCAGATGCCCTCCAGAGGTCCCTACCAACCTCAACTGTTCTGTGAGTCTGCCATTTCTTGCTCAACTACTGAGTTGCTCCAGCTTCACTGGATTGTCTTTAGTTCTTTGTCTATCAAAAGGGTATAACTCTGCCCGATTTACAAAGATGGGAGGGCTGCTAAGGGACGTTTCCACAATGCGCACCACAGGTATTGCTGAAGAGACCGACTACATCCAAGAGAGGTCTGCCCCATAGGACTGACTCCTCTTCAGAAAGGACAAATACTCAGTGACCACCAAAATTTGGCTCCTCTAGCCTCGTCCTTTCAACTCCCAACCAAAACCTCACACCACAGGGTCACGGTACAGCATGCCAGAGTTGAGCGAGAAGGTCTTTCAGCCAAACCTCCTGTACGGGTGTGCTTCCCTATTGCAGGCTGGTGAGGAGGAATGGCATCGTAAATACATGAGCGGAAGTCTGCATGGCAAGAGCTCCATCCAGGAGGCGGGTGGTCTCCCCAGGTTCAAGGACGATGCCAATGCGTTGATTGTTTCTGCACATAGAGAGGGGAAACCCAGGCTTATCTGATCCAGCAACTCAACGTGCAAAGTCGAAGGTGGCTACCGGCGGCTGCTCCTCGTCACGCTCGCTGAGAGCCAGGCGTGCCCTGTACCCTGTATGAAACACCACGGGCGGACTTTTCACTCCAAACAGACCGTTCAATAACAAAGGGGGGGTGAAAAAAAGAAGGGGAGGGACTAGATGACAATTGAGCTGTTGTTTGTGCAAGTGGAAGAAATAACTTTTCAGGAACAGGCCATGGGTCAGGGCAGTGGACCCTGTGGGCGTTTGCTGGAGAAGTCAGACTAAACAGGCAGTGATGCGTTTTATACTTATGGCACTGTTGGGAGAAAAAAATGATATTAAACACACAGAGGACACGGAGGAAGAACAAACAACTTATTGTGTGGAAAGCAAAAGCGCTTTGGAAGGGCCAGGAGGACTATCTGATTTTTCAATTTATCAGCGGTTTTGAGAGATTCAAGATCTGTTCTAGCACAGCTTTGGTTTAGACACATCTCTTGATAAGGCTCAGAGGCCTCCAAATCAAATCCCTTTGTTTACTTGTTTCTCTGCCTGTAACCATGTAACGCTATGGTTTTTATTAGATAAACAATCATATCGGTTAAAAGCAAGCGGATGGAAATACAAGGGAAAAGGGAAAATTCACATTTAAGGAGAAATTTCACCAGCAAGGGCAAAGCACAGCTCCAGTAGAACAACTGATACCTACAGTTGTCCTCAACTGGCTCAAAAATAAAGGAAGCTTCTTTGTGGAAGGGAGGGAGAAGCCCATGGGCCTCAAAACATCCCTAGGAGCAGTCAGAAATACCAGCCCCCTTTGGCTAAACATGAAGCTGATGTTTCCAGTGCCCACCTCAGTAGCTGTTTCTTTACTTCATGGGCACACGGGGAATGAATCCCCTCTGGGGGTGCAGGGGAACCTGTGCCAGCTTCCCGACACACAGGGAAAGGAGAAGGCAAGAAGCTGAGAGACACACACGTACAACTCCATTTTAAAGTACTTAGGGGAAACTCAGATTATATAGTAATGCAAAATATTTTTATATCATCCCAGGACATTTTTGTTTATGCTGCTGAGGGCTGTTTTATTTGTTCCAGCTTTGCCACAGATGCACAAACACTGTGAAAGGAGAAAGAATGTCTACTCTATATGATGGCTTTAAAAAAAAAATCAGAAAAGCAAGTAAAATCCATTTCTTAAGCAAACATTCCATTACAAAAATCACTATATGTTTATAGAAAAGATTTTTTAACAAAGGTTTAATTTAAAACAGTTAATAACTGGGTATTCCAGAAGGTTTGAGTCATCCACAGTAATAATTAGGGGGTTTGTTCCATACAAAATGCTTTATTTAACCTTCATGCCTCCATTCAGATAATTATACAAATGCATACATTTAAAGGTTTAAACTCTATTTCAATTCACAGCTCAATTCATAGGAAAGTTGAATACAGAAAAGCAATGCACCAACAAAATATGTCTGAGACACCATTAAAAACGATAACACTTGTTCATTTAAATCTTTGAGAATAGACTGGAATAATCATCCTCTGACAGAATTTCATTAGGGGACTCCTTTTACATTATCATAGGGCAAAAATCACCATTTTACAGTAAGAGGAAAAAAAGCTCTGAGTATATTTACAATACGTACACTATACATAAATACAAGAACAACACTTACATAATATTAATAAACTTATAACATAGGTGTTGCCTAAACACTACATAGTATATAAATGCAGAGGAAACAATTGGGAAATTAGATCTTCAGATGATTACTTTTATTTTTGAAGAAAAGTAATTTTTGCATTTAAAAGCTTTTGAAAAGAAGGCAAAAGAAAAGACTTAAGAAACTACTGTGTTTTCTTGCTAGCACTGGTATTTTCAGTCCTTTTAAGTGTAGAACCTCGACTGACACTATTATCTCTATGGGGTTACCGATAATGACCCTCCCTTTTTGCATCTTACCTAGGAAAAAGATTGAGGTGTCCTACATACTAATCCCATCGCTGTGAAGCTTCAGTCCCAAATTAATCATTTTGTAAACTAAGGGATGTTTTTGTATTTTTACACAGGAGGATCAAATGAACACTCATTGGTACATACAACAATAACGACCTGATTTGATTAGAAGGAACAATTTGGGGCCAAATGCAACCCCATCCTCAGGATTTTATTCAACTAATGCCATAGGGGAATTTGCTTCTTCCATAAGCGACTTGGCCAAGAATGATATTTTTCATTATTATTGTTTCTTCCTAAACACAGCTGAAAGAACTTTCCTATTTAATGGTATTTTTGACCCCACATGTTGATAGCAGCGTCCAAATCTCTCTTTCACTTGAAGTGTATGAATGTGTGTGTGTGGGTTGAAGGTCTTAAGGCTGATGGTGCATGAAACTTAAGCAATTCATTACTACCTCTGCATATATTCTGTTGTGAGTGCAAACGGGAGATAGAACTTTTTAGGGAGAGAGAGCAGGTCAAGGGGGCACACTGTGTAGGTGTTCAGCAGAGAATTTACATTACCAAGGAAGCAATGTATAGGATAATAAGGAAAGAAAAGAACCATGGGGGTTTTTTTAAATGAAAAATAAGATACAAATGTAGCAGTGAAAAACAGTTTGAAACCAGAAATGACAAACATGAACTTTGAATTGTGAAAAAGATTAGTTCAGCCATGAAGATTATGGCTCAAACTGTCTTTCCAAAGAAGCTCTTTTACATCTAGAAAAGGACGGGTGGGGAGGAAAACAGTATCTTAACCTATTTCTGTATTTCATGGTTCATGCTTAAGACAATCCATCGCAGCCACCACCTGTGGTCCCCTACCAGTCACTGAACTATTGTTTTTCAAATGTGGAGGTCACAGCATGGAACGAGGTTTAGCAAGTCAACGTGGCAACCGCCATTTACCTCATCTTTTATAACAGACAGCATCTTGGCACACTGAAACTTTTGAGACTGAACTGGGCAAGATGTTGCAGGTCACACACATGGACAACAGGACCTCAAACAATTTTTTCTATTCTTATTTTCATAATAGCTAAAATGCACGTGCCTGGTTTTGCTTGTCTCGAGGACTGGACAACTGTGTACTGAATAATTTAATAAAAACTACTACAAGGGAAACTCAGTTTATTTCACAATTTAAAGTCAGTAAGCAGAAGCTGCTACAGAGCTATGCTGGCAAATCAGTAAAACTGAGGAAAAAACCTAACTCCGTATTTGTTTTTCAGAATGAAGGAAAAAACGGCTGGCTCATTTTGGGATGGTGAAGAGAAGGTGCCCTCTCCTACGCAAGAACTAACACACTTGGGGCTGGAGTCAGCCGAATCTCCCAACGCTGGAAGTTTCTCAGGGTGCCTCCTTGTTGCTGCTTCAGAACAAAGAACCAAACCTTCCTCTCCAACAACAGCTCAGGTACAAGGTAAGAAACCTCCTTTGTCCTTTTGATGACACATCCCTTGGTGCCCTCCTAAAATCCCCAGCATGAATTGTCTTCTTTTATGCGCTTAATATCTGGAGATTAAGCTCAGGATGACAGAATAAGTACATGCATGTTCTGATGGGCTTATTTCCACCGGTGGCTAACATTTAAAAGTAAGTTGTTACTAAACTAATGGTCTTGTCACATGATTAACCAACATGCACAAAAGCCTAGATTTTACATGCAGGGCCATGTGCTTTTTCAAAATTTTTTTTTGCACCTGCACTTTCTTCTGTACATGAGCATCTTCACGCACACCCAACCCTGCCTCAGCTAATAAAAAACGAGCAGCCATCCTCCTACTCCAGCAGCAACCCAGCAACGTCAGAAAAAGTCGAGGAAAAATCTGGATGGAATATTTCAAATACAAAATTCTGCCTGGATAAATGACAAGTACAAATTTAGAGGATGAAAAGCAATCTTCCTTGGCAAAGGTATTAGGACAACCAGTTACATTCTGATCTCCAATAAATTCGGTTTTAGAAACAGAAGAAGCATGAGCGATGGCATTACACTGCTATTTTAAGAATCCATTAGCAGCAGTTAATATTTTTATTTTACAGAAACCTATCAGATTAAAAAAAAATGGAAAAAAAAAGAGTGGAAGAGTCACAGCTAGCCATTTTCTTGTAAGATCAATTAGTCTATCGATGCAAATGTTTAGTTCACTCAATATAAAAATTTCCTTACTCCATTTTAGGAATATCTACTTGTTTGCTATTCAAATAGTCTCTAGACTGATAGTTCCCAAAAGAAAGAAAAGTGAAATATTTTGTCTGCTCCTGAAGTCAACCAATTCTAAAATTATATCAAATACTATGAGCATTATATGACAAACAGAAAGGAGACATAAGGTGAACTCTTGTGTTTCCAGAGTTCGATGCAGAAGATTTTTCAAGAGAATTCCCATTCTACCACACACCCTAAAAAAGCTCTGTTGGGCTTATTGCTGGTTTTTGGATTATTTCACTAGAGAATACCCTGGATAGATGGGCACATCAGACATAAATTAGGAAGAAATCCCCTAAAACACTGCTTGACAATGACCTCCAGTCACACCTACTGAGAATCAATATGGACATGAGGCATTTGTAAACTAAGATTCATTTTCTTCTTACAAGTATATGACAGATGATATCTGAGAAAACAACTAAAACCTCTATCCCATTATCTCAACATGTGAAAATACAAATGGCACTTTGTGTTTGTTTCTGTGCTGCATTATTGTTCTCCGAGTAACATTTCATTTTCACCTTATTGTTAACAGAATCCCCTAAGTTATTGCTGTGTAAAAGTATAGGAACATCCCATCAGTCCTAATAACAGGCACTTTCAGTTTCTGTTTCATCTTTTAAAATAGATTTTAGGCAATCTTGCTGAAGTGTATGTGCATTTTAAATGTCACAACTGTCCTGCTACAATTGATTTTGTTGACATGCTACTGCACCTAGAAGACTAGACTCCCCTGGAATCGGCAAAGAGCAGCTGCCTATTTCAGCTCTGCAACCTTTATTCAAGATGCGTTGTAGTCAGGGAAATACAAGAAGAAAGAATCAAATCAAAGGAGAAGAATCAAATTCAAAAGAATCAAATGAGTTTGCCGTTACTGTATCTGCAGTTCACTGTAAAATGCCAGAAGGAAAAAAAAAAAAAAACCAACACACCAACACAAAAACCCCCAAAACCTTTCATATGGTTTTCATTTTGATTAAGTGCTTTTTTCCTTTATTCAGTCAAAGACATTCTGAGTGTTGACTTACTCGACACTGAAGGACTCGGTATGATTTCCCTGTATTGCACACCATCTGCGAAACAGCAAAGAAGTGGCCACTCCATTTTGCAGAGAAAACATGCTCTGACAAAACAGAATAATTTAGTTCTTACGTTTTGTGTTTCAGCTTTGCAAGGCATTATCTTACCATTTTTCCCGATGAAAAGTAAAGGATTTTTTAAAATGTACCTCATTCAACCTATTTACACCCCATGTAAAATTGTGAGTTTGAAAATACTTTTCACTATCACATATATTACAGTATATTTAAACTGTTACAAGTATAGTAAAATACTTTCAAGGTATTTTGCTTTCCAAAGATGCAGTATCCTTATAGCTACATTTGTGTACTAAAACCCAATTTACTGTATAAATTGATCAGAATTTAAGCATTTTTAAGGTACCAGTGGGCTTGTCTTCATAAGCACACATTACACAGCGACATGCTATAACCGATCTGTGAAAATATAGCAATCTTTACAAATTTCTTTGTGCACTTCTCCAGTTAGAAATCACAGGCAAAGGCACAATGCAATAATACGAGCTGTTTTCTTAAGAAGGTAGTATTTTCTTTTACAGTGTTTATTTCCAATTCTTCTTTTTCTGATTGTTTTTTGGTCTTTGTTTTTTAAATAGATTTATTTATTACCTGCGCAGGGGTGGAGGCACGTGGAAGTGCTGGGGTTTACGTGCGTGGGTGTGTGGATGAGCCTAAGAGAGCAGGGCAGATTTACCCAACGATCTTTAGCCTTGTCTGCTGTGGAAGATGCAGTTTCACACACTGACCTTTCCAAATCGAAGTTCAAACTAAAAAATAAGCGGGATGTTGCTGGTGAAACTTAACTCTGTTTTTGAGGCACCCACCTTCAATAAAGAAGAAAGAGATTTTTTCCATTAAACAGCATTTATTATCAGAAGATAAATTTATAAATGGCAACTAGAATACATTTTCAATGTGTAATGGAAAACGACTTAATGATCACTGTTATTCCCATCATTAAAGGGGAGGAAGGTTGTCCGGCTATTTGTCCACGCTCTGCACTGTGAGTTTACCCCAAACATCAACATCACTGATGCCATTTTTAACACTGTTAATTTTGTTATACATTACTCCAGCAAATAATCATATATACAAGTCAGTCTAAATCTAATTAATTGTGTAAGCATGATAGAGAATAAGGAATACTGCATCTTCATCCCCAAGTAAAAACTGCTGTTGCAATGAGCCAATTTTACAGTGCTGAATAGAACAGGTGCTCAAAAAATAATGACAATTTAAAATTTAAAAAGTTTTGTATCAAAGCTGCTTGCTCGTTACATTTTCCTATAATGCTGAGTACTGAGATTTCCTGACAAATCCATTGGATCCTTCTGGAAAAAACTGACACTTTGTGGCACAGTTTCCCCTGTAAGGTGTAATGGGCACGGTGGATTATTACCCATCCTTTACTCACACTTAGGAGCATAAATCACTGTTTTTCTGAAAGAATGGGACACTGCATATTTGTCTCTCCCAACTGCTTAGTTAAGATGGACCTACTGTGCTGTGTCAAGATGAGATCTGGTACTTCTGCATGCTACGCATGATGTAGGCCTTCAGCACGGTTATGAAATGTCATGGACCTGTGGTGGGATACCAGGATTTTTGAGGAAACTACCTTGGAGCAATCGCCCTTGGTCTCTGCACAAACACAGAAATTTGGCAGGTCTGAACCGCAGCCACTGATGGAAGGACACCCTGAGAATCTCGGGGACATCAGCTCCACATCCAAACATCCCTCTCCCATGGGGTAACTTCTCTTAAAATACTTCTGAAGCGCAAAACTAACCTGAAAACAACCCCACAGAGCGTTTGGGGTCAATGTCTGAGGGTGCTGGTGTGAGTATGAAACTTGCCAAGAACCAGGCTGGGTAGCTGAAACCCAGTGGTGGACTGCTGCTGGTTGTGCAAGTTGTCTAGAGGTACCAGGAGCACAAAAAGCCCTTACACACAAGCTGGAAAGGTTGAGGATATGCTTTCTGCCTGTAAAATAAGAAAATTTAGCATACACAGTTTTACCTTTTTGGCTTCATTCTGTTACCATCAATGCACTCTGTGTGTGTGTCCCTTGGTGTGAGTGCTGCTCTAACCCTGTATCATTTTGGGTTTCCTTGAATAAAACCAGACCCTCCTTCTGTTGCAGTGTTTCCTACGCATAAAGTACTGGGCAGTCAGCTGAAAGACAAGGGATTTACACAGATCAACCTTGGCCTCAGGAGATCAGCCTCCCAGGTCTGTGATACACACACTCCTCCTTGGGGCAGCTCAGAGCTGAATACCAAAATTTAAGGCCTCTCGATTTCTTTCGGAGTAGTTTTTCTCTCTTCATTGACTACAGGGGAAGCCTAAAGAAGACACTGGTCTCTCCCAGTTATACCCTGCCTTGGTGAATAACTTCAGAGACAGTCTCTCTCACTGCTCCTCATGTATGTTAACAGAATGGCCTTAAAGAGTTTCTGGTCAAATAAACTTAATTTTCTATGAGAGAAAAAAAATTACAGATTGTGAAAGGAATTCTGTATGCCATAGGTTCTTCAACTGAATTACTGCTATTCAAGTAATTAGTCAGTAAAATGCTCTTGGGCAGGAAAATAATTTTATCAATTGACTTCTATCTGACCTGACCTCTTTCCCTAAACGCTGAGAATGACAGATCCACTTAAGGGGACGATACTGAAGTATATCAAAGACAGACCTCAGACGTAATCCATGAACCATCTCACGTACAACACCGACAACCAAGCTTATTTTTAAACCAACAGTAGTGTTACTGCTGGTAAGGTCCCAGTTCTGCTGCCCTGCAATGCCTCATGGCCTACCCAGAAGCCCTGATCCATCACAGCTCTGCACGGACACTGGGCACCTCTGCTTCACTACTGATCTGGAGCCGACACTAAAATGTTGACTAATTTTGTGGAAGTTCATTACCAGCACACTCAATGGGAATTGATAGAGGCATTTTCCCCACAATGGCTGCCAATAATTTATCCTGGGTTTCTCCACTGGCCGCTCAGCACAGGGGAGCCTGAGCCTTAACAGTATTGAAGTTCTTCTTTCAGAGAGCTGATAAACTATCCAGTACCATGGAAAATTAAGAATGTATTTAAAGACAATCAAATTCGGGGACCTGTGAATGCTGTTATAAAGTATCATCCCAGTCTTATTAATCCTCAATTAACTGCAATTGCTTCCAGTATTTGTATGGGTACTCTGTGCTGGTTTTTTTTCTTAAAGATTACCTCAATTTCAGAATCCCCTTAACGTTACCACTGTTACTTCAGGAATCAAGAAATTAATTCAGACTGGTCAAACATTTAAAAATGAACAAGTGGCATCACAAGTTTAATCTGTGCAATTCCTGGAACCAAATATTCATAATTAAATGCACTGCAGAAGACCTTTATGTATACATCTTTCATCTCTAAGCTATAAAAATCTCAACAGTTAAAAAATCTTGCCAAGCCTGCTCTTTGTCAAATTTAGCTGAATAGGCAGATCCTTCGGAGGAAAGAAAACAGAAAATCACTATTCCCTTCGCATGAACAACTGATGACTAAGAGTTTCTCTCTTTCCTACATAATTCAATTAATACAAATTGGTGCACAATTATAGGGTTGCATGGGAATGATCAGGAATTTCCTTTTATTTAATCTGAAAAGGCTTGGATTGAAAATCCCAGCAGAGCAGCCACTGGTACCCATATAAAGGGCCATTTATATCATACTAGACAGCTGGCAAAATCTCGTTATTCCCTAACTCCCAGGGAGAAACCTAATGTCTTGCAGAGCACCACTGCAGAACCATTTCTCCTTCCTACGTACGGTTCATCCCCTGACTCCTCAACAATCAGCTCTTTCCTTTATCCTTCTTGCTTTCCAGACATAAGTATTATGTTGAAGGAAATGAAAGTACTTAATTGTGGTACCTAGCAGGTCAGTGAAACCATCAGAAAGATTTAACTTAAATGATCTTACGTGCTATTCCTGCATATCCCCCCCTTCTGTTGGTGTGGAGTAAATTATTGTCTCGAGAGCAATTTTCACTCATTATTGCTTTTTCTCTGCAAGAGATGCAGCCGTTTCTTCTCTGTTTTGTTTTGTTGGTACATTCAATTCCATTTCATGAATTGCTACAGCGCTAACCTTGGTACCAGTGAGTATAAGATCTGACTATTTCCTTGTGTTCAAATACTGGTCGTGGGGAAGAGGGTACCTGCATGAAAGAAAACTGCACTTTGAGAACGGGGTAGTAGTTTTTAGATGGGCTCTTTCTATACAAATCAGAAAACGGTTCTAAGTAAGTCCATGGTAAAATACAGATACTTAATATTGTACTTTCAGCAGAAACGCTGCTGCCCCTTTGTTTATTTTACAGACTTCAACAACAACAACAAAAGAAAAGAAAGGAAAAAAAAAAAAAAAGATAAAAGAAAAAGGTTAAATGGCTGGTGTCCTCTAGGGCATAATGACAAATTGTGGTACAATATTAAAATGCCACCATCGTTATTGCAAAAGTCTGCTCAAGTGACCCTTCAGCTCCAACAGCAGGACCTCTCTGGCAGAATCTTCTTTCCTACTCACAGGCAGCTTGTCTGTAGCATAGCTCGGGCGAACGGTGACACCGGCCAGTTGGTACTCCAAACACAGGGAAAAGATGGGACAATAAAGGTCTAGCGGCCTCGCTCTCATCGTCAACACCATCATCATCGGTTTGCGGCATCTCATCCTCCAATCAGCGACGATTTTTCAGGAACAAAAATGTCCGACAGCTGAGAAAACATACAAGCTATAAACATTTTTTTTTTTGTCAAAGGACGCAGCATGTAAAATAATGCCCATTCCTGTAGCATTTCGGCTGCTGTTTTCCAGGTGATTGTGATGACACTTTCAGGGGGTAGCCATGCTGAGGGGCAGACAAGGTTAACTTCAGATGGCGAGGAGAAGAGTGGCACTTCTTTTCCTGCTTTTTTTTTTTTTTTTTTTAAATTTCTGTTTTTACGTGGTTTGTGGGTTTTTTGTTTTGTTAGGGACATCAGGGAAAGCCCTGTCTGTTAACACTGTCGAAGGGGATTCAGCCCTGCTGAATTCACTCCGGGTAGTTTAATTAAGAGACCCAGCTCTTAAACCTCGGCCGGACCGGGTAGCGTTTCTCAAACCAGCATGTGCCTGCGGCGGTGGAGCGCCAAGTGATCGGAGCGGGAGAAGCTGCGGTCACAGTCCGCACACTTGAACGGCTTCACCCCCGTGTGCTTGCGGTAATGCCTCGTCAGTTCGTCCGAGCGAGCAAACTTCCAGGTGCAGCCCTCCCAGGTACATTTGTAGGGTTTTTCTCCTGGGAGAGACAAAAAGAGAGAGGGGAAAGGGGGGAAAGAGAGGTGTGTGTGTGTGTAGATAAAAACCGGTGGTGACTTTCCCCTTGTTGCTCTTAATCCCAGCAACGCCCCCCCCCCCGCCACCACCCGTCCCCAGCATGAACACCCACTACCCAGGGGCTGCTTTAGCCCAAATTACACAATTACCAGGTACCAAATCTGCTGAATATAAGGAAAGGGCCTTGAGATCTATCATTCCTGTGGCGTTCACATGACTAAGAAAATCAACAGGATTAAGGCAACAATATCACAGAATCACAGAATCTTCTAGGTTGGAAAGGACCTTAAAGATCATCTTGTCCAACCGTCAACCTAACTGACAAAAATAGACACCCGCACAACAAACAAGGAGCATCATCACTAAACCATACCTCCCAGCACTACATCAACCCGTCTTTTGAACACCTCCAGGGATGGTGCCTCAACCACCTCCCTGGGCAGCCCATTCCAATGCCTGATAGATCCTACCTTGCAGGGGTGTTGCGGGGATTAACATCAGGACAAAGTGGTGTGTAATTATTCTCATGATTACCGTACAAGTTCGCTACCCTCATCTCGTCAGGCTACACTTTCTCCCCAAATGGCCAGATTACCCGGTATTTCAGCCATTTATCGCAGGCTGCCACAGACTTCCAATTATTTTTATGAAGTTTATGAAGGCTTCTAATTATTTGTGTAAACTGCTGCAGGACCTTTCTTAGCAAGCTGGTAAAAATGAACTACGACTTCCCAATTAAACATAAAAATTCAATCTGCAAAACGTCCTCTTTATTTATTGCACTTACTTTCAGTAAAATTAATTTTGCGTGTAAGATGTTACCAGGAACGATGTAAAATTTTAAAATATATTCAGCCACGGGACTTGCACAACACTGTTGATAAATACCCATTTACTTCAATGAGATCAGACCTGGGCTAAGTGTAGATTTTTAGAAAATCTCACCCTCTGCTTTTTATTTAAAGGTAAGCACGATGCACCCCCCGTGTTCTGTGTCACAGAGGAAAAGATTAGTACAGCAAAACTGGATTTTGTGCTTTCATAAAGCAAACTGTTATAAAACTCCATTTTTGACATGTTTGTAGGCTATGCTGATTTGGGATTTCTATCCCCAGCCCTCGATGTCTCCATGTTAAATGCTCTGGGCAGTTACCTTGATCCCACAGTTGAACACGCACCGAAATGGAGGAAGGGAAACTGTGTGAGGTCCGTATGTATCTGCCTTTGGTGTGTCAGAAATTATTTTCTTACCTCCCCTTCCAAAACCAACTAATCACAACCATGACAACAAAAAAGCATCTCCGCAACAACTGTTTCCTTCGTCAGGCGCAATCATTCCGCAGTTATTTATTATCTCCCATGAATCACGAGCAGCTTGCAAGAAACTATTTCAATCACACGAACCAGTGACGCAACACTTGCTCTGTCGTAGGCAGCACCTCCCTCCATGCGTCTCTTCAAAAGTCAATAAAATGCTTTGCCGAGAGCCCTCGGTTTCAAAAGAAAATTCCCCAGTAAGAATATCATCACAAAGTTCAAACGGCCCTGAAAAGTCCAGCTGAAAGGGCCACAGGTGCCTCTGTAAGGAAACTGGATGCTGTACAGGCATGTCAGCGGGGTTGTCAGCAACATTTGAGCTCCTTGGCTTGGTACCTTCTGTGCACCATCTGGGCTGTGCTGCAGTTTTGATGTCAGACGGGGGTGGGAAACAGTTGCTGCGAGGAGAAACCAGCGATCCAGGCTCCGAGGTGACCACAGCCCATAGCTGCACCAGCAGCAAACTTAGCCTCCGTAATTTTACAGTCCTCAGCCCAAGCACGAAGCACCAAATAGCCATTCATTGGCCCTGGGCACCTGGAATCCGGCAGCTGCCACGAGCTGGATGGGCACCACCTACACGGCAGATGGTGGGTTGTATGCTCTTGCCAATGACAAAGAGCTACAAAACGTGCTCAGGTTCACCACCGAACCCTCTTACATACAAACCCCTGCCACAAACAGTTGGTGCAGAGCATCGGACAAATATAGCAGTACCCCCATCCAACTTGGCAGGTCCACCCTAATGTCCTCATCACACTGCATCTTCAGTTTCCAACTGGAGCGCTTGCCCTGCCCATCCTCAAGATACTTTTTAAACTCTCTTTTTAGTTAGACTCTGGGCACTGCCATAGTTTGTTTCTTTGATCACAGAGACTTCCAAAGCAAAATATGGGGATATTTCTTATGCTTTGGAATCTTATTTAAAACATCTGAAATTCCAAGTCTCCTACCGTGAGATCCTTCCCCTGCAACAGCCTCTTTGGTACACAAAACCCCAGATCTTCTTTCCCTTGGTCGAAGACAAATGGAGAACCTGATGCAGGAAGGGGTGGTTGGTGAAAGCGAAATACCAGAAACAGTTTCTTCATCCATTAAAACAGCATCACTTCAGGTGAGAAACAAAAGTCAGCTGATGGAAGGATGTGAGCGTGGGTCACTCAGCTGGAGTTCCCAGGTGTCGCTTCCAGCCTCCGTCCTCAATGAGTCCTGCTTACCCAGCCCCTACAGAGCTATGTGAAAGAGACAGGACTGACCACATTCCTCTCAAGCTATTTACACCACTGAACGAAAATCGCTCTTACAAGCTCAACCTAGGAAGACCTTTCATTATTTTCAATTAAATCTATGTGTATAGGATAAGAAGGAAAAACAGGCAAAGTCACATTACTCTGAAGACATTCATTCACTCACATGCACCTCAAAAAAGCCATTGTAAAGAAAACTGTGAAAGATACGATTTTCCATTAAGATTAATCAACAACATTCTAGGCAAACCTAATTTCCAGAGGAAGAATAACACTATTAGTTTTCTGTTAAACACCCACATTACCTGTGGATGGACAGGTGCTAGAAAAAAAATGTTCTTCATAGGCAATACTATACTAACTCTTAACCTTTTGTTTGGTAAGAAGCCAGACATGAAGACAGACCAGAAGCTCCAGGAGTTCAAAGGATGGAGAAGGGATCAGCAGTAGCAGAATTGCCAGAGGATGGACAGCTGGTGTGAGGTATCACACAGCAGCTTTGGCTGATGAGCTCTTGTAGCTCTTCAAGAGCTTGAGCTCTTATAGCTGAAATTCTCAGTACAATCAACGGATCTCAGCAGAGCAACCCAGAAAGCCGTGAGTGAGGAGGTGGACAAAACCAGTTTGTTAATGGGAAGAAACTAGCCCCAGTGTTTATATGTATCCACATTATCTATCTCCATTTCAAGACTGGATTGCAGTGGAGTTGAAGTCAAATACTCAACCATTTTGACTCAGGCACTTCTGCCTCTGTGTGAGCACTTGAGTTTAAGTGTCTAAGAAACTCTCGGGTTCAAAGGGTGGGCACGTTTCGGCTCCTTCGATGGCTCGACAGCCACGGGAGCAAGGGTTCAGAGTTACTGTCACACACCCAGACACTCAAATCCTCATTCAGCTCTAAGGAGAAAAAGCAGGTGGCGTGTGTCTTGCCCAGGGTAGTGGAAACATAGAAACAAAGGAGAAGACAAAACAGTGGACATGGTAGTAAAGAGAGCTGCAGAAAAAGAACCTGTGGCAATTAACATGAGAGGAAAAAGAAAATTGCAAAAAGATAAAAACCTGTTAGTCAGTTCAATCTTCTGCATCTGTAAAGTGTTAGGTTTAAAGAAGCTACCCATTTAATAATAAATGCCTTAAGCTGTGAACGTTTTCATGGGAGCCAACCCACTACTTTCACAGCTGTCTTTGACAGCTCTAGTGTTTTGTCCCAAAACCTGACAAAAAGATCCCCAAACACCGACAAATTGTATTCTGATGCTATTCCACAGCTTTGTCTTGCAATACATGGACAGTGAATAGTACGCCATGACTGGCATTTACATGGACCAAGTGGGACCCTGGAGCATGAAAAAGTTCTTCCAGACAGTTCCCTGTAGAAAATGAGTATTTTCTTTTGTTTGGAGAAGTTAATTATGAAGTTTAAAGGTATGACTCAGTGTTCCAAATGGAACTAGTCATTTTTTTAATCTTCTATTAACAAAACATCTATTTCTAAGAGCCCTCTGAAACCTTGCCTTTTGTAGTCCAGATGCCACAACCCAAATTATTTTAATTACTTTTACCATATTATTTTTCCTATCCTACCATGACTCCTCTCACTTAAGCACTTAAGAACATAGTTACAATGGTTACTCATTAAATCTCCCTAAACTCAAGCAAATAATGAATTAATAATGCTGAATAATGACCACTCTTCAGCCAATCCTTGCAAAAATTTTCCACCCTCCCCACAGCCCAACATCTGTCTTCCCATATCGTTATTCATGTACTCTTAACATCCGAAGATCATTCACCCAAGGAAATAAATATCTCTCAAACTTTTACTTTACAACCTGATGACATACATGTATTCCTTAAAAAAAAAAGCCCTACGTGGGTACCAGTAGGAGACCATGCCATGGAGCAGATGAAGGAACCAGGGTCTGTTCTACCCTGAGCAGGATTTCCCATGCGGTATGTTCCTCAGCAGTTATCCTCTGCCCATCAACTAGCTGGTATCATGGTATTTGACGCCAGATGCTTCAAAGACAGGCACCACAAAACCACCATGTAAATAGTTATGGGTTATTCTGCCAGCAGAGAAACTGCTCTGGAGCTCCAGGAAACAGAACTGGGCTTACGTTCCCTAGGCAAGGAACTTTATTTACTGCAATTGCAGATGCCCTATGTACTTGTGTATTATTTAAGCTTCATTTATTCATCAGTTTATTCAGCAGGCTCTTGGCAACCATGTCATTAAGTAACAATGAGGTAACACCGTTTACTACCGCAACAGAAAAAAAATCCCAGTGATAAAGTTCTAAACTGATTTTCTCTCTCTGGCATAAACTCATCTCTCTCTCGGGTATTACAGGTGAGTGCCATCTCCCTTATTTGTGTCCTCTTCAGACATTCCCAT